CGGTGGTCCAAATGTGTCCTATGTTTGGATGGCCAGTGCAGGCCAAATATGGAGGATTGCCTGGGATCGAGCAGACCGTGCCGAGAAGAAAGGTCTACGCGCGGCCTACGGAGCTGCGATTGCTGTCCAGGCCTGGGCTCGTTGTTTCCGACCCCCTGAGCTTCGCGAGGAGGCGTGTCTTTCGTTGGCTTCTGCATCTTCAGAGCGTGGGGCTGCACGGAAAACTATGTACAACGAGTGTTGGCTGGAATCAGACAGGCGTCAGTTTCCTTAGGCGCCGGCGCACAAGGATTCCTTCGAGTTTGTCAGTCCAGGAGGACGTTTTGCACACGCTCTCGTAATGCATTGATGCATCTGCTTGCTTTTTGTAGAACGATGGGCATCAACTTTGCGGACGTCTTGGCGAGCAACCACATGGGCCAGTAGAAGATCGCCACGTCGACGGCTCCCACCTGGCGTACCTGCTCTCGCGAACTGTGCGTTTGCACAAAGAGACGGGCGCCGACCCGCCGCATCATAAAAGCAAACCCGTGGCCCCTAAGTCGTCTACCGGGCATTACGGAACACGATCTTGTGCAGGAAGGTGTGAATCTTGTCAGATGCAGTCATTGCTTGCGCGCAGCGCGCACATTGGAAAGTGATCGAGCCCTGGGACAGCCTGTGCTCGGGCCGGGGCGCGCAATCGTCCGCCGGGGTCCATCGTGCATGTGCGAGCGTCGTGCCGTCAGGCCGGCAATTTGTCAGATCGCCGCTGCGGGGGCGAGCCGTACTGCTTGGGCCCCGGGTGGTTCCGCCCCGTCATGCGGCGTGCTGCCAATGGCGTTCGCGGAGGCAGTTGCCCGCCGCACGCGCAGTCCTGCACTCCCCTGTGCGGGTCGTGTGTGGCGGTTCCCCTCCCCTCCCACCCCTAATTCGGTGCACGCGCCTGAGCTGGGCACGGCGTCGCCGAGGCGCTTAACCGCTCGCTCTGCGCGCGCGTCGCCATGCGAGAGCGTCGTGGCCAATGCAGTCTGCACGCTTTCGCCCGACCGCGAAGCGTAGCACGCTGGCTAATGTTACAGTGGCAAGAGGCTGGGTTCGGGGTTTGAGCTTGAGAGCGTGCACCCCGTCCCTCCATGATTATACGTAGCACCCCGCAATTGCGGATAAGAGTGAGGGGGCGGGCGCGGGCGTTGCGGGCATCGGGGTTGCGGATTTCGTGGCCCTTACTTTCTTTGTCGCTGGCGCTCCTCCTCCTCCTCCTCCTCCTCCTCCTCCTCCTCCTCCTGATCCTAGTCCCTCTGCTCCTTTTCCTCCTCGTCCTTGCCCTAGTCCCCTCTCCCCCTTCCCTCCCTCCTCCCTCAGCCGCCCTCCTCCTCCTTCTCCTCCAGGTGGTCGCGGACGGTCGCGGGGTCGGTCGCGGGTCGGGGGCTAACGAAAAAAACCAGCCCGCCTTGCGCGCCGATTTGAAATTGCAGCGTGCGCGGGGACCCGCGGTGGGTCGCGGGATCGGTCGCGGGTCGGGGGTCGTGAGCAAACGCAAAACAGCCCGCCGTAGGCGCCGAATTTGAAATTGCACCGTGCGCGGGGTGGTCGCGGATGATCACGGGTGGGTCGCGGATGGTCGGTCAGGGGTCGTGAGCAAACGCATAAACAGCCCGCCGCAGGCGCCGATTTTGAAGTTGCAATGTGCGGGGGGTGGTCGCGGTGGGTCGCGGGGTCGGTCGCGGGGTCGCGGGTCGGGGGTCGTGAGCAAACGCAAAACAGCCCGCCGCAGGCGCCGATTCTGAAATTGCAACGTGCGCGGGGTGGTCGCGGTGGGTCGCGGGTGTGTCGCGGGGTGGGTCGCGGGTCGCGGGTCGCGAGCGCATGCAACACCGCCCGCCGCAGGCGCCGATATTTGAAATTGCAATGTGCGCGAAGTGGATCGCGGGTGGATCGCGGGTGGGTCGCGGGATGGGTCGCGGGTCGGTCGCAGGTGGGTCACGCAGCGGGGCGTGAATTGGGTCGCGGGCGCGGGGTCGCGGAGTGGGTCGCGGGTGGGTCGTGGGTGGGTCGCGGGGTGGGTCGCGGGTGGGTCGCGGGGTGGGTCGCGGGGTGGGTCGCGGGTTGGGTCGCGGGTGGGTCGCGAGGCGGGCCGCGGGGGGGACGACGCCAAACAAACAAACAACAAACAACAACAAGAATCCGCATCGCGGAATTCCACTTCAGCCACGCACCCAGGGACACTGAATGACCGTTCGGCCCCCTCACTCTGATGAGCCACCCTTTTTTTTCTGCGTCTTGAGTTCATGGCTGACGCCTTGCTGCCCCCTGTCTGTTGGATAGGGCCTCGGTGGCCAGGCCTTTTTTTCTGGATCGACTGTTGGGTTGATAATCTGTGTGTCCTCAGTGATCGGTGGGCGCTTCACCATGTCCGCCCCCTCCGGATGTTTCGGGTTCCCTTTTGGGGCTCCTGGACTTGGACCTCCTCCTCGCCCTCCTCCCCTCGGGCGCGGCCGACAAACTCTAACAGCTTCCTCCCGCGCCCTTCCCCCCCTCCTTCCCCTCCGATCCTCATTTCCCCTCCACTTCGCCTCCTGCTCTTCCTCCTCCTTTTCCTCCTCCTCCTCCTCCTCCTCCTCTTGCTGCTGCTGCTGCTGCTGCTCCTCCTCCTCCTCCTCCTCCTCCTCCTCCTCTTGCTGCTCCTCCTCCTCCTCCTCCTCCTCCTCCTCCTCCTCCTCCTCGCGACTTACGTCCATCACCAGTGGCCTCCAGCCAACGACCCCTCCCTGGTCGTCGCGCTGGTGCCTCGGCCGCGGAGCTTCGGGCGGGGCTGGGCGCGGGGGGGGGCGGCAGCAGCGGCAGACGGAGGGAGGGGGGGAAAGGGAGGAGGAGCAGGAGGAGGACGAGGAGGAGGAGGACCAGGGTAAACCCAATAGTAATCGTAGAGTTCTCCGAGGTCTCCATCATAAACGCCTACACGGATTCATTTTCACCGAAAGAAGTGCCCCGTTGGAAGACGGCCGTTTCTCTTTCCCGTAGATGTGCCATAGATGTCAACGCCGCGAAGTACCGTCATTGTTGAGTCTTGACGATCTTGAATCGTGCCTAGGGCGAGAGCCACATTTTGCAAAACAGCCGCCCTCCATCCTTGAAACCCACAGCACACTTTCACAGCACATGTGCACGACGATAAGGCGAGCGCTGCATTTTGAAAACGGATTGCATTCCATCCGTAAAGCCTCTGCAAACTTTTGAAAACGAATGCGCTCGACGCTGAGTCGAGGGCCGCATTTTGAACACGGGCCGCCCTCCATCCGTGAACTTTTTGTTCAAACTTTAAAGATGCATGTGCGCGGTGCTGATGCGAGAACCACATTTTGAAAGTGGGCCGCCCTCCGTCTGTGAAGCTTTTGCAAATTCAAAGCTTCAGTACCATACATCGTGAAGAAGTCCCAGGCGAAACGCCCAGTCCGCCTGTTTCGAGGAGGAGGAAATGAGGAGGAGGTGGAGGAGGAGGAGGATCATGATGATGATGTTGGTGATGATGCTGCTGCTGATGATGATGCTGCTGATGATGCTGATGATGATGATGATGATGATGATGATACTGATGATGATGATGATGATGATGATGATGATGATGATGATGATGATGATGATGATGATGATGATGATTGGGAGGAGGAGGAGGAGGAGGAGGAGGAGGAACACGAAGAGGAGGATGTCATGATGGCCGGGCGTGAGGCCTTCGACTCTCTCCCCGTTCCTTCGTTGGAGCAGGGGTTGTGGCCGGGTCGGGCAGAGGGGGCGGGGGGGGACGAACGGTACCCGTGCAAGCAGGCCGCGAGCCAGCCGACCATGGAGGCAGTGCAGGCCTCTCACTGAAGCTGACAGGGAGGAACTCAGCACGTTTCCAGCCCTGCAGGGCCACGCTCTCGCGCAAGCTCCTGTCAACTTGGCTTCTGGGCTCCCCAGTGGACCTGGCAGCAGCCAGGCAGTGTTTGCACGTCTTGGTTGTGGGGGGTCTGCCTGGGGTGGCATCGTGTCCTTGGCGCCTCCCTGCGGGGGGGCGCTTCCCGCGATCACACCCGGTCGTCGGAAGAAGCGGGCGTCCGAGCCGAAGTTCCCCTGTGGATCCGCCCGCTGCAGGGGCTGGACGGCCGGGAAGTGGCTGCCCCCGCCCCAACAAGTTGCTGTTGACCTGCTGGCGCCGAGGGCGCGCCTGGTTGAGACACCTCTGGCCTGTGATTGGTATCTGGGGGCCTGGCTTGCTCGCGAAATCCGGTCTCAACGAAAAAGGCCTCGAAGAGGCCCGTCTTGCGTTTGACGCTCGGGTTCGCGACACATGTCGGCTAGCCGCCGATCAAGACTCCTTTTTGGCCCACGGTTGGGTGTTAGAGTGAGGCTACCCAAATTTTGTGTGGGTTTTCCCTTTGTCCGGTCATCGTCGAAGAAAAAGAGGAGCAGGCGGAGGAGGAGGAGGAGGAGGAGAAAGAGGAGGAGGAAAAGGAGGAGGAGGGGGAGAAGGAGGAGAAGGAGCATGAGGACGAGGAGGGGGAAAAGGAGGAGAAGGAGGAGAAGGAGGAGGACGAGGAGGAGGAGGACGAGGAGGAGGAGGAGGACGAGGACCAGGAGGAGGAGGAGGAGGAGGAGGAGGAGAAGGAGGAGAGTCTTAGACTGCTTGTTCTTCCCAAGGGAACCGTCCTCTCCGAGGGGCGGCGGAGGTGCCTGCCGGCTCGAAGAGGAGGGGGGAGAAAAGGCGGAGGAAGAGGAGGAGGAAGAGGAGGAGGAGGATGAGGAGGAGGAGGAGGAATGGGAGGAGGAGGAGGGGGTGAGGGCCCACATCTTCGACGTCATGTTTTTTCACAGCGTGCCCCCCCCCCCCGGGAGGTCCCGACCCACTCGCCGAGACCAGCTCTTCATCCTGAGCGGTCTCTTGACGGCCCCCAGAGGCCGAGAGTAACAAAGCACGGCGCCGTTTTTCCACGCCGCGACGGGGCGAGCGCGACGCCGCTGCGGGGGGCCCGGCCCCCCAGGAGCCCGCCGGGGGCCGCCCTGGCGCGAGGCGGCGGCAGCCGCGGGGCCCCCCCGCCGAGCGGCGCCGTGCCCCCGCCGCGCCCTCGGAAGCCACGCGGTCCGCTCGATCTGTTTCGATCCGATCCGATGCCTGATTCTCGCTCCTCTTTTCCTCCTCTCTCCCCTCCTGAATTTCTTTTCCTCGTCGAAGCAGCAACTCCTCCCTGTCGCGCTCCGAGAGCTGTTGGTAGGGCCGGCCGGGCGGTGCGCCTGAGGCTTCTTCACCAGCTGTGGTCCTGCAGCTTGAAGCGTGCAGCAGCTTCACGGATGTGAGTCAGAGTGAGTGGTTGTCGACGTGCGGTTCTCGCTTTAGCGCCGCGCACTTTCGTCTTTCAGAGTCTGCAAGAGCTTCACGGATGGAGGGTGGGTCGTTTTCAACATGCGATTCCGCTCCAGCGCCGTACACGTTCGTTTGACAATTCTGCAAGAGCTTCGCGGTTGGAGGCCGGGTGGTTTTCTAATGAAATGGCTATCGCTCGAGCGCCGCGCACATTTGCCTTTCAGAGCTTGCAGAAGCCTCACGGATGGAGGGCGAGTTGTTTTCTAAATTGGGTTCTCGCTTGAGTGCCGCACACATTCGTTTTTTTTCCAAAGTTTGCAACAGTTTCACGGATGGAGGGTGGGTCGTTTTGAAATTGTGATTCCCGCTCCAGCGCCGCGCACATTCGTTTTGAACATTTGGCAAGAGTTTCGCGGATGGGGGCGGGGCGCTTTCAAAATGTGGTTCTCGCTCCAGCGCCGGGTACATTCGTCTTACATATTTGCAACTGTTTCGCGGATGGAGGGCTGATGGTTTTTGACGTGTGGCTCTCGCATTCGCGCCGCGCACATTCGTTTTGAAAGCTTGGCATGCGCTTCCAGGATGGACGGTGGTTCCTATTAAAGTGGCTGTCGCCTTGGTGCCGCGCACATTTGTCTTAAACTCTGCGCAAACATCAAGGAGTCATGTTGTTGACGTATCAGGGCGCAGCAGCCACGTTGTTTTGCAGTGTTGAAGGCTCAGGAATGGTGTACTGGCACGATTCAGGATTGTCAGGGCGCAATTGTAAAGTTGATTCGCGGCGTTGACGTCGCAGGCGTTGTGTTTTGGCACCATTGCACGATTGAAGATTCTCAGACGGCTGGCTTCCAACAAGGCACGCCCTGCAATGTGTATATCTGTATGTATGTATGTGTATATATATACATATGTATTCATACGTGTTAGATGCATGCATCTGTTTTTGTGTACATATTTACACATATCTATATATATATATATATTCCTCTTCCTATATTTCTATAATCCCGGGCTGGGGGAAAACCCGTCCCCCCCCAAAAAAAAACTGGACTCCCGGGACCTGGGGTTTGGGGGCCTTCCGGACGGGCCTCGAAGCGGCCACTGGGCCTTGCAAGGCGTTTTGCCAAGCCTTCCCAGCACACTTAGGGCGATCAGGGGGGTCATCGGAGACGTCCCAGAGACCCCCAAGACAGCACAAGAGCGCTCCAAGAGTGACCGACGTGACCTCAAGATGGCCGAGGAGGCCTCCAGGACGGCCCCAAGGAGGCCTCCAAGAGCACTCCCAAGAAGGCCCCCCGAGGCAAAAATCATTGATTTTCTCTTTGGGTTTTGGGTGAATTTTGAGGTTCTCCTCTTTTCGGCTTCCCGACGCTCCAAGACGGCGGTCTTCTGGGCGTCCGAAGCTGCCTGGGAGGCTCCCAAATCGCCCCACAACCATCCGAAAAGGCTTCCGGGCAGTCCAAGAGAGCCCCAAAACGGCACAACACGGGTCCAAGATGGCCCTCAGAGAGCCCCATGGCGGCCCAAGATGGCCCAAAGACACCCTCCGAAGAATTCCAAATCGTGATTCGGTCGTTCAGGGAGACGGCGGTTGGAGGCAGGGTGGCCCGAGGAAGCCCCCGGAGGCCCCCAGAATACGCCCAGGAGGCCTCCAGAAGGCCTTAAGAAAGCCCGAAACAACTTTTGTGAGGCCCCTAGAGGCTCTCCAAGGAGGAGCCTCCGCAAAGAAGAGCTGAGGAGGATGGGGAGAATGCGCAGGGTATGGCGAAAATAAGGAACAATAAGCATGGAGGAAGGATAACGAATAACATCATTATAGCGGCGATGCAGGAAAAGGCAACCAGGAGTTATCGCTAAATTGTCAGCTTGCCCTTCCTGCCATGCCGCCTGCATACCAAACTTCAAGGACCAAGGTGCATGGCGCGAAGCGCCACTGCAGTCTTGTATATACATATATATATATGTATATATATATATATATATATATATATATGGATTCCCTTTTCTATATTTTGATAATTCCGGGGGTGCGGACCCCCCCCCCCCGAAACGGGACCCCCCGGATCCGTGCCACGGGGGCGGCCGAAAATCCTTTCCAAGGCGTGCACGCAGGCGGGCGGCAGTGCCAAATCGGTCGGCGCGAGCCCACAGAGACACCCAAGACAGTCCAGGATAGCACCCGGGTAGCCTTAAAGACCCTCCGCGAGAGCCCCAAGACCGTTCTCAAAGGGGGCCCGAGAGAACAACATCATTGAATTTCCATTGGTTTTTCAATGCTTTAAGCGTCCTCGCTTTTTCGGGTTTCCCACGTTCCAAGACCGCCCAAGAAGCTCCCAAAACCGTTCCAAGACGGCCCAAGAAGCTCCCAGAGCGCGCTGAGAGCGCCCCAAGACGGTCGGGCCCCAGGGGGGCCACGAACTGAAAATACGAGCCTCCCGCCCCGAGAAGGCCCAAGGAGGCCCCAAGGGAGCTCCACAGGGCCTCGGGAAGCCCCCTAAGTAGCTCTGGTGAGGCTCCAAAAACATGCCGAATTGTTACTCTTCCATTGGTTTTTCAATGTTTTCAGCGTCCTCGCTTTTTCGGGTGTCCGACGCTCCAAGACCGCCCAAGAAGCTCCCAAAACCGCCCCACGACGGCCCAAGAGGCTCCCAGAGCGCTCTGAGAAAGCCCCAAGACGGCCCAAGACGCGTTCCGTAGCCATTTTGGCTCAAGCCGTTTTGGCTCAGCACTTCCAATTTTACTGCACATCCTTGGCACATACATACGCTCTTCGCAGTGACGCGTCGGCCAGGATGCGCGCCCTGGTCGCTCTGCTGCTTCTGTTCCGCGGCTGCTCTGCTGCCTCGCGGGGTTTCCTGCGCTCGGGAGTGCAAGCGCCGCCGCAGAAAAAGGACCCGGCGCCCGCCGTCAGCAACGGAGCGGCGCCTGGTCAGCCGGCCAGGACGCGCAACGGTGCTGTGTGGACGCCAAAGACGCAGGAGTTGTGTGACCCCCGCTCACAGATCAACATGTCAGGAAGCGCGAAGGGCTTCAACAGTAAGCGCATGGCAATTATTTTCTGGAAGGCTCCTTTCCGAGCAAGCAGGATCAGAAATACAAAAGTCGGCTACAAAGATT